AAAAAAAAGTCAAAAAAACAATGGGGTAGATTCAAATGATCATAATTTCCAAATGATTCATTCAAAATGGATGGATTTTTTTTCCTAGATGATGAAAGTGTCTCCTTTCCAAGAGTTTGGTTAGAAACGCTCCAATTACATCTTGAAAACAAGTAAACATGCACTTTTAAAAACTTCCATTTCTTTTGGAATGAGAAGACTCACGACATGAAGAAACTATCCTTCGTCGTAGTCTTGAAAAATGCTCGAAAATTTCTTTAACGTTAAAAACTTTTATCCTTAATAAACAAATTTCTCCAAATTAAGAAAATTACAGAAAAGTATAATAATATGTACATATATTCTTAATTAATGGTTAATTTTTCTCATGTAATATTTATATTCGACGTATTCTGTTTTGTACGTATATTTTTAGTCTCCTAAATACTTCAAACGAGGCTTTTGGAATGTCGTAGATGATCAGAACCCCTTTTCAAATGTCAGTAAAAACTTTGGAGGTTTTCTTTCGTTTCTGAATATCCTATGTTTTGAGCTCGTTTACTCTCTAAAACTTTTTCCCAAATGTCTCAAAAGAGATAATACAATTATTTGTGCTCAGAAATGTAGAAGATTCTAAAATATGTATATAATAACGAAGAGTATGACGTTCCACACAATGCACAGAATAGTTTTTTAAATCAAAGTTTGAACCATAACGGCGCTGAAAGAAAACGATGTTCAGACAAATTTCTAGAAATCTACAATGATTTCCCTTTCTCATGTTTCATAGACACATTGAGAAATTACCATGATAATGTCGGAAGTAAAATTATCCAACCACATATCATGCTTTAAAATGCATTGAAATTATTATTTCTGGAGAATCATTGCTTATTGATATTTATGTTCAATTTGCGATCTTTAAAATCAATTATTCTTGTAATTCTAAGATTAAAATTTCTGTACTTTTCAATTAAAATATTTGTTTTATCTATGAATCAGAACCGTGAAGCATGAATAGAATGTAAAGTTCAAGGGAGGTACATGGAGTACTAAAAATGCAACCGCGAATAGGAAACACAACCATGAATATGCGGGATTTGAATCCACAGCCCGATGTAACGCATTATTTTGATTTGGTTTATTTATTTAACATCAAAAACAGTTAAAATGTATGTGACGTACTATGGGGAACAAACAATCCCAATCTGTGCACGTTTTCTTGAGCTCTAGAATCCCTACTCTAAACCTTAATCCGTATTTAGTTGAATAACGACTACAGGAAGGAAAGAGAGTTTTTGGGAAGAAATGTAATGAGTATTTTTGCTCCCGTGTAATAAAAACAATTTGCAGTGGCAAATGAGCTACAGATTTATATATTATCCCTGATCGTTCCCTACGCGAAGAAATAATCTTACTTGAAGGAGAGCATGGAAACGAATACTTGATTATATAGTCATACTAATTAATCATACTTGATTATATAGTCATACCGGATATCTTAATTATTTAGGATGTTTGATTTGTTACTTACTTTTATTTATTACTCTTCTTTCATAATTATGTTTTATCATGAAGTAAACGCAAATTAGAGGAGGGAATATGGAGTTATGAGGATTGCTAATAAGCATGACGGAATGTATTCCCCAGCAAGTTTCTGAAAAAGTGTGCACGGATAATGAAGCTAGATTTATTTTCAGAAGCAAAAGAAGTCATCTCCCTATTTTCTCAATAGATCAAGAGAAAGTAGATGAAAAATGTGATGATCTAGATGTACTTAAACAGAAATGCCAGGAATGGAAGGAAGAGGGTTGAACAATTAAACATTATGATTGAGAGAGACGTACAACCCCCCTACACACAAGCAAACTAACATATCCGAGACGATATTCAATACCACGGCCATTCGAATCCAGACTGCTAAGGTGTGTTCGTTTAATTCGCAATCTTGACAATCTAGGCAGTTCTTTAGAAGTAACTGAGAAATACGGAAAGTAACCGACGGAAATTATAATCCCTATCTTAGCTACAAACGACTCAACATGTATGACTTACTAGAATATTGAAGTGTGCAAATTTAATGTTTATCCCTCCGCGTACTTTTTGCTCAGTCCCTTGCAGCTTTTTCTTGCAATACATTGGCAGGGCAGGGCCGATGCATTTTATGCAATACATATTTCTTGTCGGCAATGGTTTTCTATAATTTTTACCATATTTTTTATTATTTACCATATTTTAAATTTTCCATCCGTACCTTGGAGTTCGTCGATGCGCGACACCGTCATAGTTAAGTTCGACCCTGGGTGCCATTGCACCGGCCCTGGCAAGAACTACTGAAGAGGCAAAGTAGGCCAGAGGGCGTCTGTAGGAAGAGCAGACAAAAAGCTGCCGACCCTGTCGGGAGTCAAAGCACGGCCTTCAATTTCACTTCTCAATGTGGCCCGGAGATTACTCATCTGCGTTACTTCTGCTTGTGTAGAGGTGGTGGGACTAGATGACATCACACATCCTAGTAAGAAAGTTATCAAAAGAGCGACGTCGAAATTCTTATTTCCTTACGTGAATAATACATAGTGTGATTATAATCAAACACAAGAATAACATAAATAATAATAATAACAATAATAATAGTACATATTATAAATTATATTGTCAGTTATATTTTTACCTGTAATTGAAAAATAATATGAATGTAATGGGATTATTTTCTGACGTTTTATGAAATGCATTACTGTCGGAAATGTAAGACAAAAGCAATTTAACAATATGACAAAGTAAATTAAATGGAGTAAATTAAGTGATAGTCTAAAGAAGTGAAACGTGAAATTAGGCATGAAAAATGTATTATCCTTATCTAAAACAATAACGTTTTTTCACAAATAGTTTTTGTTTCGATACCATTTGGAGAAATTGAAGTGTCATCGGACGCTTTCTCGTCCAGTGACTGTCCAATGTCCGTCTACCCTTAATCACACTTAAACTTTCTAGCAATACACTACCACTCATCTCGAGAGACCGATCGGGAGCTTGGAGCTTGTCCCGGTTGGGGCGATACCACGCTGTTAAAGATACCTGGAGAGGGATACCCACCAGCAGACGTGAAAGTCGGTGCCGGATCAAACATTTCAGCGGATAAATAACACCGACATCTCCCTAGATATAACATATACTAAACTTACAGGACTAGGCAGCATCACAATCCCGGCAACATCACAATCATTTAATGGAATACGTCTAGCACAACAGCGATCGCGCCTTCACCACTTATCTCTATATATCATGTGGATAAACAATAGAATACGCAAAGGCACCTCGAAAGAGTCTTGCTGAGGGAAGCTGCCACAGTGAATTAATTTGTAGGTATGGGGGCAAATTCTTTGAGAAATTTAAAAAAGTGGATATATTCAAATTATATGTTACACGCTTTTGATGAAACAAGAATTACTAAAGTGGCTAGGTATTATATAAATTAGTACTTACCTTTTGGAATTTTGACATCTTGCAGACACGTAGTTGGTTTCCATTTATTTATTCATTCCAAAAAGAGTAAGAAAAACGTTTACCAATTTTGAAAAATATGTTTTATGTTATGAAAAATATAATTTCACGCATTATTTTCATCATTCAATTTTTCTCATAGTAAATTACGTATCATTTCTAAGTCTTATATTTAGAAATAAAGTTTAAAATAAATAAATGTGATAAGGGGAGCCGGAATGACCTATCTCGCCAGTCTTAATGTAAGGAACATTTTCTCAGAAACTATTCAATTTACAGACTTGAAATTTTAAGTGAGAGTAGATTCATTGCTTATTTGTATTTAAAACGAAGTTGTTTTTTTAACTATTACTAGTTTTTAAATATAAATTTTTGTCTACTGTAATCGGTTTTAATGTTAAATATACTAACATTAATAAGAATACTGTCTAAAGTATTTACCATTTTATAAATTCGCCCCGTTAAAGTATATAAACTGATGTACTACATGCTCTGTTAAAATTTGAGTACCCTTCTACGACTAGTTTTTGAGAAAATGTTCCCTAAAAAAGATGGAACATTTCAAACTCAATGGCTTCTAAAGTTTTCAATGCATTCTTGGTTCATATGCTGAACAAAAACACAATATTATTTTGACGGTATTCCACCCTCAATTGTTACCATGAACAGTGTGTCCAACACTAGAAAGCAAAGTATTAGGTATTTTTCACAACGAAAGCAGAAAGAAATGCTCAGTCAACACTCATGATGTGTCAAAACGGCTATGCCCATATCCACACCATAATTTTTTAAAAAATATTTAGAGATGGCATATTAAGATGAAAGCTGGCTTATTTTACTCAGAAAACTATAAATTAAGTAATGATTCAAAAAGTAAAGAATATTATTTCATCATTTTGGCTTCCCATAAATTAATATCCCATTAAAAGTATTTTTCTCTTTTATTTTTTGTTATAATACAATTCCATATTTTCATAGTTAATCTCAAGAAAACAATCATTTTTAATAATAATCATATAAATCATTTTAGGTAGAAAATAACATTTAAAATCACGCTATGAAATTCGATGCGCTATATTGGTTTGGCCCCAAATTCTGGGTAATGGTGGTGTCACTTTTTGGATATGCTATTATTT